GTTCCTAGTTACTTGCTCAATTTCAAAACCAAAAACACCCTTTCTATTTTCAAAAACAAACACCAACACTTTAAAAAACATCTTTCAAAACTTGAAAACATTTTCAAAAAGATCAACACTTTGTATACATTCTTACGAACGAGAATCATTACAAAGTTTGCCTAAACGATGACGCATTTTCAAAATACTTTCAAAAACCACACAAAACACATTTTCAAACAAAAGCAAGTGATCTATCAAGTAACTAAGAGCCCATGGAAAACCTTGGATGAAAAGGATGCTAATACCTTCCCTTTTCATAATCTACCCCCCGAACTCAAGAAACAATCTCAAAGGTCTTTTCTGTGCTTTTTCACCTTTCCTTTTGGATAAAAGAAAAGTCAGTGGCGAATCTTGCTAACCGCAACATTTGCGATAAAACGCAAAACACCCAAGTCAGTTCTCCCACCATATCACAATATTGATACCAAGAATCACACTCGCTTCTTCGAGGTCTTTCATATCAAAGTTACTGCACAACAATGATTTCATATCATTAACGACCTGAATATTTGATCCAAATATGAGTAGATCATCTACATATAGACATATAATAGTGCAAATGCGATTCTCAAATTTGTAATAAACACATTTGCCACTTTCATTCACTTTGTACCCATTTGATATCATTAAGTTATCAAACATTCCATGCCATTGCTTTGGATCTTGTTTTAGCCCATACAAAGACATATCTAACTTACAGACCTTGTTTTCTTAACCCAAGAATTTCAAACCCTTCTGGTTGGTCCATATAGATTTCTTCTTCTAAGTCATCGTTTAAAAAAACTATTTTAACATCCATTTGGTGTACTATTAAGTTATAAATATCGACTATTGAAATTAGTATCCTAGTGGATGTAGTAGGAGTGGTTGGGAAAAAGTAAAAATCTATATTTTCTCTTTTCCTAAAACCTTTGGCTACAAGGAAAGCCTTGTACTTATCAATTGTTCCATCAGGGTTTAGTTTCTTTTTTCAAAATCCATTTACAACTGACTGGTTTGCAATCAGGAGACAAGTCTACTAAGTGGCAAGTCTTGTTAGATTCTAGAGATTCTATCTCATCATTAATAGCTACTTGCCATAAATCTGCATCTAGAGATGACAAGGCTTCTTGAAGATTTATTGGATCTTTATCTATATTATAAGCTGCATAATCAGACCCATAGTCTTTAGCAACTCTTACACTTTTACTTCGTCGAAGTTCAGGTTCTACTTCGTTGTTGCTTTCAGTGTTTCTTATCACAGGAATATGTTTCGATTCAGTTCCCTCACTATTTCTCAATTTGAAAGGAAATTTATCTTCATAGAATTCAACATCATTTGATTCTATGATCACTTTAGCATTTAGGTCTTAAAACCTATATGGCTTATTGTTTGATGCATATCCAATGAATACGCATTCATAGCCTATACTAGTGAGTTTAACGCGCTTCGGATCCGAAATTCTGACATAAACCAAATAGCCTCAAGTTCTTAAATAAGACAAGTTTAATTATATTTTCTTTAATATCTCATAAGGTGAGATCTTACTTTTTACTTGGAAACTCGATTCAGGACATAGCAAACAGTCAACAAAATTCCTCCACCAGTGAGGTGTAACCCTAGAATTCAACATAATTGCAACAACAAGTTCAATAAGAGTTCTATTCTTTCTTTCTGCTTTGCCATTCATTTCATGTATAACTCCGCGTTTTTTTAATAAAATTCATTAAACAAACTAGAATCATATAGTTTTTCTATCACTACAGAGTCTCTTAATCTTCTTACTAAATTGATTCTAAATTTCAGTTACATACATCTTAAACATATCAAGCGCTTCCCTTTTATTCTTCATTAATTATACATAAGTAAAACCAGAGCAATTGTAAACAAAATTGATAAAATAACGTTTACCATTTGTAGTTAAAGTTCCATCTAATTTACTTCTTTGCTACAACTTCAATGTCTTGCTTGTTTTTCAGAGCCTCGTAAACATGTTTTAAAGTATCACAATTATTGTAATAATCATACAGATCATTTGCAAGTCCATTCAGAATGTTATAGTCATTCTCTTTCTATAAGAAGATTTTTTCCTTTAGCTGTAAATCTTCCGCTTTAATCTATGTTGTAAATTCATATTCATTAAAATTAACAATTCAATCTGAGTTCATAGATTTCTTTCTATTCGTTTGTTCGACTGATCCAAATGGAATAGTAGGAATGTCATCGATCAAAATATTGACAATCTTCTTTATGATTAAGAAAAATCTCACTTTTGTTGCCAATGTTTGAAATGCATTCCTTCAAACTAGAACGGTTTGTCCGAGACAATCTTGGAAGTACCGATAATTTCTTCAGTAGCCATGGTAGTTTGAAACGTCTTAAAATTGTTGTTTTGCGTTTTGAAAATCTTGCCACAAAAAAAAATTACCGGGTTGAGTCGCGGATCATTTCGCTCTCTTTAAGATATTTTGCGACACTGCCCAAAATTATGCAAAGTAGTCAATCTACCACGCTGCCTCCAGGATAAAACAATCCAGTTCTATACTGTAGGATTACTACTTGCATAATAGATAATCAATCTGGAAATACACCCTCTGATTGTACTAAGACCATTCCATTATGTTATAAATACCACCGTAGTATCCGGTATAACAACTGATCGTAATGATTTCTCAAACCAAGATAATTCATTAATGGTCATTTGACCACTCAAAATGATTTCTCAAACAAAGAGAAATTAACATTATTCTCAAAAGAGAATTCAAAAAGTACTCAAAAAATTCAACGAGTAGAAAGAAAGGGGAAGAAATTGACGCTTCGACAATTTGAAATACGCAGAGTTATGAGAGTGAGGAAGGAAAAACTCAAGACAAATTTTTAAATTTCTTCTCCTTGTGCTTCTAGATGTGCCTTCATGCGAATTTTCCAGAAGTCAAAATATTCACCACAAAATAGAGGAGGCTTGTTGTTACTACCACTATCTCTGAAAACGGGATTTTGATTTGCGGAAGCCATTCTAGATCTTTTAGGAGCAGGTTACCTATAACCTGCTCTGATACCAATTGTAAGTACGAAGTGCGCCTAAGAGGAGGGAGGGGGTGAATTAGGTACTTTAAAAATTCTGGTTTTTAGTGATGATGGTTCTTATTTTTCTGGTTAAAAGTGAGTTTAGGAAAGCTTAAAAATGCAGAAAAATAAAGACACACGGGCGATATATCCTGGTTCCCCTCACAGTCCGAGAGTACCCCAGTCCCCTTTCAACATGAAAGAGATTTCCTTATTGTGGCAAACTTAAACAAGAACTACCAAACTACCAAGAACAATCCTCTTGGACCAAGAACAATCCTCTTGGATTTTCACTATGTCAACTATGAGAACAATCCTCTCAAAGTGACTACCAAATTAGAACGGTTTGTCCGAGACAATCTTGGAAGTACCGATAATTTCTTCAGTAGTCATGGTAGTTTGAAACTTCTTAAAATTGTTGTTTTGCATTTTGAAAATCTTGCCACAAAAAAAATTACCGGGTTGAGTCGCGGATCATTTTGCTCTCTTTAAGATATTTTGCGACACTGCCCAAAATTATGCAAAGTAGTCAATCTACCACGCTGTCTCCAGGATAAAACAATCCAGTTCTATACTGTAGGATTACTACTTGCATAATAGATAATCGGTCTGGAAATACACCCTCTGATTGTACTAAGACCATTCCATTATGTTATAAATACCACCGTAGTATCCGGTATAACAACTGATCGTAATGATTTCTCAAACCAAGATAATTCATTAATGGTCATTTGACCACTCAAAACGATTTCTCAAACAAAGAGAAATTAACATTATTCTCAAAAGAGAATTCAAAAAGTACTCGAAAAATTCAACGACTAGAAAGAAAGGGGAAGAAGTTGACGCTTCGACAATTTGAAATACGCAGAGTTATGAGAGTGAAGAAGGAAAAACTCAAAACAAATTTTTGGTGTGTTTTGGAATGAAACAAGTGATTTCCTTATATAATAAAGTGAACTAGTTAATATTTCTCACATAAGAAATATGAGACTAAATGATTTTTTCAACCACAAAAGAAATTCTAACAATATGAGATTTAAGAAATTTTAAAATTCAACATATTGAAACACAAAGATGTTCCAATAGTTGATTCCAAGTGTAACGATGCTTTAGGTGAATTGTTTTTTTATTTATTTTTAGATTGTGTATCTCCTTTATTTTCCATTTAAGTTGTGCTTATCTGTGTTATACTGACATGGTCAACTTTATTTTCGTAATGGCTTCAGGCATGCCTTATGCCTTTGTTTAGTGTTATGTTTTTGCTTTTTCAAAAAAAAAAATCACATATATGTTCATGAATTGCTCTAATTTATATACTTGACAGTTTTTGAGGAGTTGGAAAGAAACGATTTTCGAAAGATGATGTAAAAAAGAAAACTAGAGAAATCTTTTCTAATATTAATTCTTACAAAAGTTGATGGCGTCTAAGTGAGAGACCTTAACAAGTCTCTCACGTGAAATCCAATTTTATTTTATTTTTATCTTTTAATCATTTAGCGGTATTTTTAAACTGTCACAAAATTTTAGAATTTTTTTGCAACAATTTGATTTGAAAATTAATGAAGTACTTTTCAAAATTTTCATTTTAGAAGTGTTTGGTAACGCTCGATAACACAGTCCCTTTCACTTCAATTGAAAATGGAAAAAGAGTTTTTGTCCGATTCAAAATGATGTGAAACAAATTTAACGGTAGTTCTAGCGCCATAAAAAGTTTGCTCCAATCAATATCCCGTGATAATGATATTAAAAATTTCGGCGTGCTCATTTTTGGATTGCTGGTTACTGGAAAGCCACCAGAAAAGAGAGAAAGATTGTGTGTCAATGCACTTCATCACCCACTATCACAGGAAACTGCAAAACATTTGTTTTCTATCTTGGAAGGGCCCCTTTATGGAATAGAACTAGCTGGATCATGCACGAGTATCGCCACACCGATGATCTTGGCCAAGACTCGCCGTACTTTAAGGTACAATAATAGTCACTAAGTGTTATGTGATGTGTTAGCTTTGTTTTGACCTTATGTTGATGTGCTCGCGCATGTGTGTTCCCTGTAGGATGGTTTTGCTTTATGCCGAGTTATTAAAAAGAATGAAATAAGAAAGAGGATTGCAACTAGTTCGGGTGATGTTTCTTCTCAAGCAAGTCACCTGAATAATGAGACAGGGTGGTTTTGTTTTGTGCCGAGTTATTAAAAAGAATGAAACAAGAAAGAGGATTGCAACTAGTTCGGGTGATGTTTCTTCTCAAGCAAGTCACCTGAATAATGAGACAGGGTGGTTTTGCTTTGTGCCGAGTTATTAAAAAGAATGAAACAAGAAAGAGGATTGCAACTAGTTCGGGTGATGTTTCTTCTCAAGCAAGTCACCTGAATAATGAGACAGGGTGGTTTTGCTTTGTGCCGAGTTATTAAAAAGAATGAAACAAGAAAGAGGATTGCAACTAGTTCGGGTGATGTTTCTTCTCAAGCAAGTCACCTGAATAATGAGACAGGGTGGTTTTGCTTTGTGCTGAGTTATTAAAAAGAATGAAACAAGAAAGAGGATTGCAACTAGTTCGGGTGATGTTTCTTCTCAAGCAAGTCACCTGAATAATGAGACATGGTGGTTTTGCTTTGTGCCGAGTTATTAAAAAGAATGAAACAAGAAAGAGGATTGCAACTAGTTCGGGTGATGTTTCTTCTCAAGCAAGTCACCTGAATAATGAGACAGAGTGGTTTTGCTTTGTGCCGAGTTATTAAAAAGAATGAAACAAGAAAGAGGATTGCAACTAGTTCGGGTGATGTTTCTTCTCAAGCAAGTCACCTGAATAATGAGACAGGGTGGTTTTGCTTTGTGCCGAGTTATTAAAAAGAATGAAACAAGAAAGAGGATTGCAACTAGTTCGGGTGATGTTTCTTCTCAAGCAAGTCACCTGAATAATGAGATTGGATATTCAAGCCTTGTTGCTTCTACCCAAAATGTGGCTCCAATTGTTGAGCTTAACCATGTTTCAGTACATACCAATATCCCCCTCCTCTGCAGTTAGGTATTATCCGTATTCATGCAATAGATATATTACTCGTCATTTGATCAAGATCAGACGATATTTTGAATTATGAAATAAAATTTTAAGTGTAATTTTTAGACCGTCTCATATTGATCAAACTACCACCGACATTTTGACTGCGTGAGTGTGAGACCCCTTACCGAATTTCATAATTTGAAGATGTTTCTCAAATTTTTGCTACACCAACTACAGGAGTATACTGAAGTACAAGATGTTGTGGCTGAATATTTTCCTAGATGTGGCTCACCAAAGCAATCGTTGCAACATACAACTGTTTCACCTACTTTATTCTTCTCAAATTTAAATAGTGAAATTGAATTTTCTGATAATGCAAGTCAAATTGGATGCATATCACCTTACTCAACTCAAGGGAATTTCATGGACTACGACGAAAATTGGGATGTTCCTTATGAGGCTTATGATCAAATTAATGATAAATCATTGAAGGGACTAATTAGTTGAAATCTTACTCGGCGTGACATTATAACTTATAATGATAAATAATGAGTACTTCCTTTTAAAGTACAATCTCTCTGTAACATCAACATTTCTGTCGAAAGAAAAACAAATTTAGTATGGTATAGTATTCTTTCCCTTGCAATGAAGTTCTAATATAAGCTTGCAATTTTAGGGCTACAAAACACTTCAACTTCTTGAATAGTTGCTCTTGACTCATCCCCAAAGATAGACTCCTTGCCATCTTCCCTTTTAGCATAAGACAATCCCAATCTAGACTTGGCTTGTGTCAAGTCCCCAACACCAGAATTAGTATCAGGCCCAGCAAAACCACCCATAACAGGTGCTAACGGAGGCCCAATGAGAAGTCCGTCAGCCCCGAACTGCGGCCCGCCACGAGCATAATCAAACAAAGCTGCACCACTTCCACCAACCTTAGGCAAAATGATGGGTTCATTTTGATTTTCTATCCAATAAAATAGAAATGCATCAAATGTGTCATAGTAATCATCTGTGCTTCTATATCCCTCAGGGTTAAATGCACCAAACTTGAAAGAGTTGTTTGTGTAGCCTATTATTACACATGGTCCTTTAAAGTCACAACATTGATGGAAATTTGTTGCACTAAATCCATCAATTGATGCCCTATAGCAGCATTTTAGTTCCTTACCTGATCAAAACACAATATAAAAAAGCGGATAGACATGCATGTTATTACAGAGCCGTTTTGTTGGGCATGCAATGCAGGCTACAAAATTGACACAGTTGAACTATGAGTAAATAAGACCTCATAAAATATACATCATACTTAGGATTCAAAATTTGACACAGTTGAACTGTGACTAAATAAAACCTCGTAAAATATATGTCATGCTTACACTATGGCAAATAGAGACCCTATCCGTTTCGGCACAGTTAAACTGTCGCTAACCTACACTTGATCTCCGAAAACTTAAGACGGTCTGGTTAGGTAATAATAATAAAATGATTCACACTTTTTACAGTAATTAATTTGAAGAGAGAAGAAGTACCTTTCAAAAATGTTTTGGCAACCAGAGAAGTTGAGAAAGTGAGATCAATATCATGGTATTTAATCTGAGGTTTGTCATCAACTCTCTTTCTGCCTATGTTCCAACCAAATAAGCAATTTGGGCTTGTCTTCCTCCCTTGGAATGATAGAGAATTTGATATACAATATGCCATCCAAAGATGACCAAAACTAAGAACTATCCATCTATCTATCTAATGAATTTCCACCACTAAAACTAAACTCATCATCTTATCCATATGTTCTCTTAAAGTTATTTGCATTTCCTTTCAATAGTCAGTAATCACTCGACCCACTTCTATGGAAAGTTTGGACCACATTGAGCTTTTATGCTATTATCAATACAAAATACATTTCCTAATATTGTCAATGCAATGAGAGGACTAAGTTACTGTCCAAGAAGACCTCATGAATAAGAAGTTAATTTAGACTCCTGATTATATTTACTAATTTGTTTCTAGAATAAGGAAAATAAATAAGAAATTGAGTTGTTCTCATTAAATATAATTTATATTTAATATAATTATTTGTATAACTCTATAACCTCTATATGTACAAGAAATAATAAAGAGAAAGACATCAAACCAAGAATAAAAAATAAGCTATCTAATTATTAAAGTTAAAGGCTATCAAACTATAAAAAATGTCCTTTCTTTTTAAATTAATCACACCACTAAGAATATATAAGTATTTACATAATAAATACATTCACACTCTTTATTTAATCAAATATTGACATTTGGCAATACAAAACAACTTCTATTTTTTTCAATTCTTACTCTATCTCACTTCTCTCTCCACATTTATGTTTCATTTCACTTCTATTTACTTTTCTCTTTCTCTTGCATTTTTCTCTCCAATATTTTCATGTTCATTTAAATTTTCTCTCTCTCAATTTCTATTTTATTTTTTATTTTTCTAAATATAAAAATAAATTAATAAATTGAATTAACATAATTATTAAAAAATTATTCAAAATTATTAAAAAAATTATTTTTAAATGTCAAAATTTTTACTTTTTTCACGGATCATTATTAACAAAATACCTATTTTATTTTATTTAACATTATACTCATTTGAGACACAAATTTTTTGTTTTTAAATGTCAATATTTCTATTTTTCTCATAGAAAACTATCAACAAAATACTTATTTTTCAATTAACAGTTGTCTTTATTTGATACACAAAATTCTTACTTTCAAATGTCAAAATTTCTATTTTTCTTACGGAACACTATCAATAAAATAACTATTTTATTTTAATTAATAACTATCTTTATTTGAGACGCAAAATTCTTATTTTCAAATATTTAAATTAAATTTATATTATTATTATTCATTTTATAATTAAATAACTCATTTTAAATTTACATGTATATTTAAATAAAATCTATATCGTGTTAAATAAATTTGTAACGGAACATCAGTTAAATTAGCACAATTTTTTTTTATGAATATTACTTTCAATTTTATTATACAACTTATTTTAATCTACACAAACGCATGAATATCATTATTTTTTATATAATTATATTTATCATTCAATATTATAAATATCTAAACAAATTATATATATATATATATATATATATATATATATATATATATATATATATATATATATATATATATATATATATATATATATATATATATATATATATATATATATATATATATATATATATATATATATATATATATATATATATATATATATATATATATATATATATATATATATATATATATATATATATATATATATATATATATATATATATATATATATATATACCCGTGCGACAGAACGATCGTACAGTTAGTTTACTAGTTCTTAACAATACATGTTCTCTAGGCTGAGCAATGCTGAATTTCTGTTGGACATCCAGATGAACTTACAAGTGATCCAGATGTTATTTCAGCATTGAGCATTACGGGAAACTTCCAGTTTGAACCTTGCTCTCATGGTGACTTCCTTGGTTCAATTCTTGGTACAAGAATTACTAGGGAGAAACTTAAAGATATTATATTGCACGGAGAACATGGTGATGAGATGATTATTGTACCGAATCTAGTTGATTTTTTTATGGCAACATTGGATAAGGTTCGAAATGTTCCTATAACTTGCACCAATTTACCATTAATTTCTCTTGATTATGAACCACCAAGAATGAAATCATTCAAAACTATAGAAGCATCACTAAGAGTTGATGTAGTAGTTAGTGCAAGACTTAAGATTTCACATTCAAAGTTAGTTGACATGGTATTAACCTCGTCAATCAAATTTGTGATTTTCTGGTTCTGATCGTTTTTTCTCTATCTGAGACAATATCCCGATCGCTCCAGTTTTGTTGTACACCGTTTCTGAATCCTTTGATCGTTCACTGTGAAATTTTTTTTGTGTAGATGTCATCGTGATTCTAGGGTTAGGGCTTCAGTTCGTTTTGCGATCCTTTCACGAATCGTGATTTTGGGTTGTGTTTAATTTTTTTCGGTTGCAGTTTTGATTTTTTGTTTCTTAGATGCTTGGTTTGAGATTCTTGATCGTGATTATCTTTTGGTTCTGTGGTTTCTTCAAAATCGCGGTTGCATTGCTTGTGGATTGTGGATTGTCCTGTTCATGAATTATCTTGGTTATCTTATTGTTGCATTTTTTTTGGATTGTGGACTATATGATTTGTGGATTATTTGGTTTGTTTGTTGTTGCTGACAGTGGATTATTATTATTATTATTATTATTATTATTATTATTATTATTATTATTATTATTATTATTATTATTATTATTATTATTATTATTATAATATAATAGTAATAGTAATAATAATTATAATAATTTATTAATTAGTGAGGTTAAATCTTGTTGCATACTAATTTATATGGCTTCCAAAAAAAAAAGAGATAATTTTTGTGTTCGGTTTATCAGCAAGAATTATTCTGTTTGGAAATTTCAATTCAAGATGTATGTTAGAGGAAATAGATTATGGAGTCACTTAGATGATGTTTCTAAGGCTCTGACGGAGAAAACTGCTTTAGATGCATGAGAAACTCAAGATGCTCAAATCATCACTTGGATTCTCAACAATATTGATCCTCAGATGATAAATAATTTACGATATTTTTCAATTGCTCAAGAAATGTGGAGTTATCTGAAACACATTTACAACCAAGACAATTCAGCAAAATGTTTTCAGTTGGAGTTAGACATATCCAACTACAAACACAAGGTGGTTTTTCTATTCAAGAATACTATTCTGGTTTTTTTAATCTCTGGACATAACACTTTGCTATTATACATGCTAATGTTCCCAAAGCCTCTCTCGCGGTTGTTCAAGAGGTCTACAACACAAGTAAATGAGATCAGTTTCTTATAAAACTTCATCCAGAATTTGAGGTTGTTAGAGGTGATTTTCTCAATAGAAATCCTGTTCCTTCTTTGGATACTTGTGTTGGTGAACTTCTAAGGGAGGAAC